GCTGGAGCCCCGCGCGCTTCTCGAGGCGCCGCGCCCATCTCTCCAAAGGTCCGCCGGCTGCGCCCGGACGCCCCGCAGCCAGGCAGCGGCTGAGCGGGGCCGCGCCCGCGTCCGGGGATCGGGATGTCCCTCCTCCTCCTCCTGCTAGGTGAGTGCCTGGGGGAGCGCGGGGATCTGCTTGGCCCGGGGCAGACTCGCCTGGCACGGTGGTCCCCGGTGACCCCCGCAGCCCCTGCGCGAGCCGACCCCTCGGTCCCTGGCTCCGCGCCGCGCAGAGCGGCGCATCTGGCGGCCGGGGACCGCCCAGCGGGCCTTCGGAAACGTTTCGCACATCTGGGCCCTTGAGCTAGTCGGAGGTCGGGGGCGTTTCCTGGTTGAGTTTGGCCGCGAAGCGTTTGGTGCGGAGGGTGCTTTTTAGGGCAGTATTTGGTGTGGGGAGTCTGCAGGGAAACTGGAGAACTGGGGGAGGGAAGGTTCATCCAGGAATTTCTGTGCCAGGTTTCTGAGGGCGTGGAGGGCTTTTTTGTTCCAAGCAGGCGCCTCGGAGCGCTCAGATTAGAAGCAGATGTGTCGAAGGGTAAGAGGAAGGGAGAAGGGACGAGACGGGGTGGGAGAGGAAGGGAGAGAGGGGGAACGACGGAGGGTGTGAGAAGCCCGAGAAGGCGCAGCTCCGAAAGAAAGCGACCCTGGAAGGAAGGAAGGGGGCAAAGGGAAAGACAGGACAGAGAGGGACCAGGAGAACGAGGCAGAACGGAGGGGCCCTGAGCAAAGAGAGTGAGAAGACTTAGACGGAATGGAGGGAGGAAGAGAGGGGGACAGGGCAGGCAGCCCTTCCTCCTGAAGCTGGACCTGGGGCAGAGCGGAAGCCACCCTGAGTGTCCCTTCCCGGTGTCACCCAGGCGGGGCCCCTGAGGCCTCGGGGCTCCAAAGACACAGGCTGACGACAGGCATTTGCAGGACAGGTTCCAGCAGGGATGTGAGCAGCAGGAGGCCTGAGGGGGACAGTGCGTATCTGAGGGGCACAGGGCAGGACGCCAAGGAAGCCAGAGTTCTGAAAACCCAAGAGGCGGCAGGCTGCCCTGGGAACACGGCTCTGCATACTCGCCCACAGGAGACCCTGTCTTGGGTTCGAGCAGATGAGCTCACTAGCTGGAGCGGCTTTTTCATTATCTAAAGCTTCATTTCCTTGCCTCCAAAACAAAAAGAGGTGGTTCCGGAGGCACTGCCAGCCCTGCCAGCCTCCAACGCCAGGACTCAAGGAAGGCTGAGGTCTTAGAAAAGCCGGCAAAGCAAAGTGAGCAGCACCAGCGCACCATCCTGAAATAGGTAGCCAGACCTCCCTGTTCTCTCAGACCTCGCCGGCTGACTGGTCAGCCTGTGTAGGCCACCCTCAGGCTGGTGCCCACCCAAGCTGGAGGGAAGGAAGAGGTCTGCTAAACTAAACTGTTGCTCAAGGAGGGGAGGGGAGGGCCTATTTTCTAAGCTCTGAGAAATTTGCCAAGTATTGCAGTTCTATTCCTGTTTACATGTGCCATAGTTGGGTGGCACCTTTGTCACTTTTACTGGGCCACACCACTAAGCTATCACTACCAGATGGTACTAGAACCAAACTTCGGAGTGGCCTTACTAAAAACAGTGAACACCCATTAAGTCCTCACTGTACTGAAATTTTTTTTGTTGGTGGTGGTGGTACTGGGGATTGAACTCAGGGCCTTGTGCATGCTAGGCAAGCACTCTACCACTGAGCTACATCCCCAGCCCTTGTACTGAACATTTTATGTGTACTATTTTGTTTCATTCTTCACATCAACCTTATTGGCCATGATTAGTATCCTCATTTTACAAATGAAGAACTGTGAGTGTAAAGCCAGACACGGTGGTGCATGCCTATAATCCCAGCACTCTGGAAAGCTGAGGGTGGAGGGTCTCAAGTTTGAGCCCAGCCTGGGTAACTTAGTGAGTTAGTGAGCCCTGTCTTAAACATAAAATATAAAAAAGAAGGCAAGGGTGGACTGGAGATATATCTCAATGTGAAGGCCCTGGGTTCAATCTCTAATATCACCAGAAAGAGAGAGAGAGAAGAGCAGAGGAGAAAAGAGGAAGGGAAGGGAGAAGGGGAGGGGAGGAGAGAGGGAGAGGAGATAAAATCAGGTTGTAAACAGGTCAGGTAACTTGTTTAATTAGCAGAAACTGGATCAAATGTAGGCTGGGTCTAGTTTACAGTCGCAAGTGACTTTGGGCCCCATGATCAGTTGAAATCAGCTGGTAGCCTGGATGTGAACATTGATGACAATCTTCCTCTCAATTCATGACAAACAAGGATCTGACCAAGACTTCTGTCAAAAGATGTCACCAATCGCTAGCTGTTCTTTATTGAGTGTCTACTATGTGTAACTGTTCTTCTGGTAAGAAAAATAATCTGTTGGGTTGATTCTTTGCCTTTACTATAGAAGCTGTTTCTCCTGATGTCTTACTTGGGGCCGTGCTTGTAAAATTTTTATGAACTAAAGGACCGGTAGAAGAGAAACAAGGACTGCTGGCTTAGAATTCTGCACTGTGGGATTCTTTTCTCTCTCTCTCTCTTTTTTTTTTTTTTTTTTTTTGTCTTTTTGAGGCAGGGTCTCCCTATGCAGTTCAGGCTGGCCTTGAGCTCACTTTGTAGCTCAGGCTGGTCCTGAACTCCTGACGGTCCTCCTGCCTCAGCCTCCCACTGCTGGGATTACAGGTATGGGCCACCACACCCTGCTGTGGGATTCTTATATTTGTGCCAACTATTAAGCTTTTGTGACATCTAGGCTTTTGTCAGGCATACTCAGACTGATGACACCCCAGTTTTAAGTAGATCAACCTGTCCAAGTGAGAGACAGGTATTGGAGGAGCTGATGGGAGTAGGTGGGCGAGGCAGTTTTACGGGCTGGATTAGCCCTGTTTGCAAAGTTGTTTTGAGCCGTAGTATACTTGGGCACACTCTGGCAAAATCCAGAGCTGCCTGAATCCCCAAATCATCTAGTGGTCTTTGGAAGCTGCCTGTGATCACAGCTGGCTTGACTGTGGGCCTCTCTTTCTTCTCTTTTTTTTCTTTTTTTTTTTTTTTTTCTGGTACCAGGAGTCGAACTCACAACCTTGCGCTTGCCAGGCAGGCGCTGTGCCACTGAGCTAAATCCCCAGCCCCCTCTTTCTTCTTGAGAATGCACAGGATAGCAGGAGAGTCAGGAGGGCCGAGAGAGTTCATAGCCTGAGGTGGACAGGCCAGTGGACTCCTTGCCTTCTGGGACTGGCAGTGAGTCAAATGTCCTGCCTCTGATACGAATGAGCAAATAGTGCTTTGAGCCCTCTGGAGTAGAGAGAATGGGGGCCCTGCCCCTGCTGCGCCTCCTCCAGCCACCCCTCTCCCCTCCTGTGTGGCTCAGGTCCTCATTACTCTTAGATGACCTCTCTCCTAGACTTTGCAATAACTGCCACACTTGAGTCCTGCCTGTCCTCTCTCCTCCGTCCTACACCCTACTACCTTGTAGGACAGCTGGCAGAGGGCAGAGAGCTTGGCCTTTGCAATGTAGCAAGCTGTCTGTGCTCTTGTTCCGGCTGCCTTGTCTTTAATCTTGAATTCAGTTTCTTTTTTTTTTGGTCTTTTTGAGTCAGGGTCTCACTATGCAGTTCAGGCTGGCTTTGGTCTCACTTTGTAGCCCAGACTGGTCTCAAACTTGCAACGATCCTCCTGCCTCAGCCTCCCAAGTACTGGGATTACAAGTGTGCGCCACGCCCGGCTTTAATCTTGAATTCAAAGTTTCTATAATTTCATGGTCTTTCTCTTTTCTTTCTTAAATCTTTAATAGTTCCCACTGCTTTTAATCCTGAGTACAAACAATTCATTCCGAGGGAATGGATAAGGAGCAAGGCACTTGGTTTCCTCAAAAATGAGCTTGGGGGAGGGTTGAATGCATAGTCCTGGTCTGCAGGATAATGACAGGGCTTGGTAGGATCTAATGTCCTTCTTCTTTCCACAGTGGTGATGATGGTAATAAGAATGATACACTCCCAGTAGGCTCATGTCTTGTCTCATCTTATTTTGTCTTGTGCCCGGCTGAGCAGTGCACACGTGAGTGTATTTCATGAATGTACTTAATGGTGATGAACTAGACAGTCATTTTTAAAGGCAGAGTCAAGGACTGTGAAAATTGGGAGAAAGTTAAGAGATTATATAAATCAATACTTCCTAAAATTTTGAGTTCCAGACTCCTCCGATGAAAACCGCTTTTTAGAAGAAGAGATACATCTATTAAATTTTGCCACTAATTTCTTCGAGGCTCACTGATCTGATATCCTTCCCTGGAACCCAAGTTTATCTTTGGTCTAACCTGCTGCTTCTTATGAAGAAACTGAAGTTCAGAGTGAGTTGGTAAAATAACACGGCTAGCTTAGGAGAAGGGCCAAGACTGAAACCCTAATTCCATGATGTGTGCTATCGTACAATCCTAAAATAGAAACATGTATCTCCTTCCTTTTCTGTTCATGTAGTTAAGATTCAAGATCACAGTCATTATTCTAATGCTTTAGTCAGACGAGCTAAATGCTGAGTAATTGGCATGGTTTTTATGTTGAGAAATTACCTGAAAAATAGGGCATTTGTCGTAACATTTCAATTTAGTCATTATAACTGGAAACTTTCTGCAGTGTTATGATTAATGTCTGGTGTATTCCGATAAAAAAGAATTAGCACTCTAAGTTCCAGATGTTGGTGCAGGCATACCAGGAACAGGACTGGAAATCAAGGGCTTTTGTTCTCTCACAATTCTGCTGGATTACCCTCAGCAAGTCAAAGTCCGAGCCTCTGTTTCCGTGTCTGTAAAATTAGGATGCTAGACTAAGGTTCTCTCCAAGTTTCCTTATACCTTTCTCTGAATTTTTTTTTGAGCCAGGAATCGAACTCAGGACTTTGTGCTTGCTAGGCAGGCATTTGTGCCACTGAGCTAAAACTCCAGCCCTCTCTGAGTTTTTTTAAGTCTGAGAGTTTACCAGCTAATCAAAATGTGGTTGTGGGGGCTGGGGATTTAGCTCAGCGGCAAAAGTGCCTGCCTGGCAAGCGCAAGGTCGTGAGTTCGGTTCCCGGTACCGGAGAAAAACAAAACAAAACAAAAAAACAAACAAAAT